ACTGCACTCCAGTCTGGGTGACAGAGTGAGACTCCAACTCAAAAAAAAAAGAAAAGCAACACAGGGCCGGGCATGGTCCTCAGGCCTGTAATTTCAGCACTTTGGGAGGCAAAGGTAAGAGGATTGCTTGAGTCAGGGGTTCGAGACCAGCCTGGGTAACTTGGCGAGACCTCGTCTCTACAATCATCAAAAAATTAGCTGGGTGTGGTGGTGCATGCCTGTAGTTCCAGCTGGTTGGAAGGCTGGAAGGCTGAGGTGGAAGGATTGCCTGAGCCCAGCTGGTCGAGGCTGTGGTAGCCGGAAGTGTGCCACTGCACTCCAGCCTGGGCAACAGAGTGAGACTCCAACACACACACACACAAAAGAAACACGAAGAGTTCAGAATTTTCTTGGTAGGAATAGTAAGTAGGAAGCTTGTGTACATGATGTATATTTTGTACACCTATGTTTGTCTCCCAAACATGTCACAGCTACTCCTGCAAACCCACACACTCACATAAACACTTACATTTTTGTCTGCTGTGAGCAATCTGGGAACATTAAAAAAGACTGAGAAAGGAGGGGAAATTCAATCAAAGGCTAAGTGCTAGCTAGGGCTAAGGGGTCACAAGACAAGAAGGGCTGGGGAGAGCAGGAACAGAGAAATGGGAATGTCCCAGCCATTTTTCAGAAGGAGGAAAGTGACGCCAGAGAGAAGAAGCCACATGTCTAAGGTCACACATGTAGTTAAGCTGAGTCCCCACCCTGGGTCTTCTGGCTTTTTTTGAGACAGGTTTCACTCTGTCGCCCAGTCTGGAGTACAGTGGCATGATCATGGCTCACTAAAACCTTGAACTCCTGGACTTAAGCTATCCTCCTGCCTCAGCCTCCCAAGTAGCTGGGACTATAGGTGCTCACCACAATGCCTGGCTAATTTTCACATATTTTATAGAGACAGCATCTTACTTTTTTGCCCAGACTGGTCAAGCAATTCTCCTGCCTCGGCCTCCCAAAGTGTTGCGATTACAGGCATGTACCACCACACCCATCTCTGGCTTTAAGTTCAGGTTTTGGTCTTCTCTAAGAGTGGCTCCTCTAGGCCAGGAATCTGTCCAAAGCAACACAGTTAGTCCCGATTTATAATGCTTCAAGGCCAGGCACGGTACTTAAGCCTGTAATCCTGGCACTTTGGGAGGCCGACGTGAGTGGACTGCCCGAGCCTGCGGTTCGAGAACAGCCTGGACAACTTGGCGAGACCTCATCTCTACAATAAAAAAATCCAAAAGAAAAAAAAAATTAGCCAGGCATGGCATTGTGTGCCTGTAGTTCTGGCTACTTGGAAGGCTGAGGTGGAAGGATAGCCTGAGTCCAGCAGGTCGACGCTGGGGTGGTCATGAGTATGCCACTGCACTCCAGCCTGAGCGATGGAGTGAGACTTCAACTAAAAAAATAACATTAATAATAATAATGCTTCAAAACAGCCTGTGATGTGGAACTTTGTAACTATATACACATGCATATTAAAAATCTTTACAAATTATATTCCAGGAAGCTCCCCTATTGTCAAAGCACTTATTCACCTGAGTATTCAACGAGACCGGCTGGTCTTTTTCTCATCCTGAGTCCACTGACTTGTGTGTTAAGTGCCCCCCTTGACTGTAGACCCATAGAGTAAGACCCTTGAGCTGCAGTTTACAGAGACTTCCAGAACAGTGGTTCACAAGCTTGGTTGCACACAGTGCCACTTGGAGAGCTTGTCAGAATACATGACTTCTGGGCTCTACCTCAAACTAACTGATTCAGCATATCTGGGGTAGGACCAGGAGCTCTGCACATTCACAAGCTCCCCGTGGCTCTCATGTAGCTGGCGTGGCACTGATCCTTTCCACACTCCTGGGGAGATGCCCCTCAGTACATGGCCAACAAACACTGTCCCTGCTTTGAAGTGACACCATCCCATCTTCCTCTGCACCTTCCTTGGACTTACTGAACATTTGGTTCAGTCAGTGGGTCTTGTCAAGTACAGGCCAACACTACCCCACATTTTGTTCTTTTAGAATCTAGAATGTCCACCCACAGAAATTCAATGGCATATTTTTGGCTGCTCAGATTTCCGTATAGGGTTATTGTGTAGCTTAAATTACAGACGTAAAAGCCCAGTGTACTGTAAAGCACTGCACACATGTGAAGAATTATCACTGTTATTACACTGTCCTTTACTCACAGCTCGACATCCACCTGCCCACCCGTGCTCCCTGCTTTCCGCTGGAGTGTGCAGCCTGGCATAAACTGTAAAGCGCTGTGCAAATGCGAAAGATTACCACTGTCATTACACTGTCCTTCACCCACAGTCCGACACCCACCTGCCCACCCGTGCCCCCGCCTTCTGCTGGAGTGTGTAGTTACAAGAGGTTGATGAAACTAAATCTGACCACAGGTTAAGTGCTGCATATCACACAAAGACGCCATTCTTAAAATGCAAAAGGAATAAGTCTGTTACAGATTAAGTGCTGTATGTCAGGCAAAGACATCATTCTTAAAATATGTGTGGTGGCTTACATCAAAAAACAGGAATGCTATGAATGAAGTGATCGCTATCTGGGCTTTGCTCCAGCATGCTCCAAGGTGGCAGTGGGGGGAAGTGGCCACAAGCTGGGGCACCAAGGGAACCAGCTGGCCACGTGTTGATGACATTCGAGGCTAAATGGGAGTAGAGGTGGGCTTGCCATGCTGTTCTCTGCATGTTCCTACACATTTGGAAGAATTCTAAGTATCAGTTGCTGAAATAAGGAATTCTGTAATTTAATTTTTCCATAAATATTGTATGAAAACCAGTCAAATCTTACTAGCCTGTACTGCACTGAGAAACAGGGTTCTTGCAATAATAACTGGATACACAGGCTTAAAGGCTGACTAGCAACTAAATTCAGGGTAAAAGTGAAAATGCCATGAAGAAAGGACTCTTCTTGGTGCATACTATCACAAATCAGCATCAATACTTTGCCATGATGAAAGACACATGAAGAACTAGTAGCTGTAGTTAATCAGAGAAGAATGCAAGTTTGTAACAGACTAGATGGAAAAGATGATGTCATCCTGGAACAGGCAGAACTAGAGAACACGCAGTGCACCCTGGACTGACTCAGAGGCGCAGAGGTGTCTGGTGGCACCCAACAGTGACTGTGGTTAGTTGCAACATAGGAGGAATGGCACTCCTGGCTCTCTTAGCTGGACATCAGTGGCCGGCATGATAACATCACTGCAGAGAGGCTGAGGCCTGGGGCAGCAGCTGTGCAACCATGGAGGACCAGGGCTGGACACTTAAGAAGGCCCTAATAACTGACTCCGAGAAATTAGGGAAGAAAATCACCCCAAGCAAAGAGACCATGGTGAGAAGGCTGGAGTCTCTCAACACTGGCTCGACGGTCTCTTACTCTACAGCTCTTTTCTGAGACTTGAATCAGAAACACTCAGAGCTTGGATGATGTGCTGGACAATGTCACTGTGAAAGTCTAGGTGGCCAGTCAAGAAGTTTTGTTTGCCAAATGCAAGAGGACTAAAGTGGCATTAAAAGATACTCTGTATCATACCTAGGATTTAATGTTGGCGATTTGACAATCTCAGTTGCTTATAATTATTCCTGTAATGTTCCATTTGCTTTGAGATGGATATAAAGGCCAGACTCAGCATGTATCAACTCATCACAAGCAGCTGCATATCAGCTGTGCCTCAGTCTGGCCTCATGGCATTGGAACCTGTGAGGAAGGGGCCAGACAGGGCACTGACTTACTGTTGTGGTAGGTGCTCTCTCCTTAAAAGCAATGCTTTTATTGGTCAAGATGGGAAGAGAGTTTTTTTTTTTTTTAGTTGGAGTCTCACTCCATTGCCCAGGCTGATGTGCAGTGGCACTCTCATGGCCACCCCAGTGTTGACCTGCTGGGCTCTGGTAATCCTTCTGCCTCAGCCTCCAAGTAGCCGGAACTACAGGCATGCACTACCATGCCTGGTTAATTTTTAAAAAATTATTATTTTTTTAAAATAATAATTTTAAATGAGGTCTTGCCAAGTTGTCTGGGCTGGTCTTGAGCCCGTGGGCTCTGACAATCCACTCACCTTGGCCTCCCAAAGTGCTGGATTACAGGCTGAGCCACTGAGCCAGGCCATGGGAAGAGAATTTTGAGACAGTATATTCAAAGAGGTAGGGATCTCTTCCTCTGGATTTTAGTAATTGAAATATGACTAAGGCCAGGCTCGGTGGCTCAGCCTGTAATCCCGTGCTTTGGGAGGCCGAGGTGAGTGAATTGCATGAGCCCACGGGTTCAAGACCCGCCCGGGCAACTTGGCGAGACCTCATCTCTACAATAAATCAGAAATTAGCTGGGCGTGGTAGCATGCGCCTGTAGTTCCAGTTACTTGGAAGGCAGAGGGGGAAGGATCGCCGGAGTCCAGCATGTTGAGGCTGCGGTGGTTGGGAGTGGTCACTGCACTCCAGTCTGGGCGACTGAGTAAGACTTCAACTCAAAAAAAAAGAAATACGACTAGTTATACAATGTGTTCCATTCAAGTTTCACTAGCAGTGAGAATAAGGGAGCTGTGATCATAAACCCACAGACAAGCCGGGTGTGGTGGCTTAAGTTTGTAATCCCAGCACTTTGAGAGGCCAAGGCAGGAGGACTGCCTGAGAACATTCTGAGCAACATAGCAAGATCCCGTCTCTACAAAAAAAAAAAAAAAAAAAAAGTAGCCAAGTGTGGTGGTGAGCATGCCACTGTACTCCAGCCCTGGCGACAAAGTGAGGCCCTGACTCAAACACAATAAAGAAAATAAGCCTACAGATGGTGATGATGATGACTGCACCGTCTTTCTTGTGGATGGAATAACATAATAACGCTGGTCAGCACATGTACAGTTTCATGGGGCAAAGGGCAGGATGCTCAGTGCCTAACAGATCACTAGTCTTTGCCCACTCTGCTCTGGGGTCAGTCTAAAGTGACCGGGAAGAACTGTGAGAGCTCTTAGCTGATTCTCTTGTTTCACGGAAGAAGAAACTGAGGCCCAGAGCAAGGGATTAGCTCACTTGACTGAGGACCCCACTTGCCGACTGGCTGAATTCAAAGCCTTACTTCGTGATCCCCAAACCAGCATTCTCCTTTCATTATGCCACAGAATGAAAATGCACCCCCCCACACACTCATGGTACAAATCTAAACTGTGTCTGGTTAGTATCTGCCAAATACTGACCAGATGACTTAGCCACAGAAGCTGCCTGACTGGTAGGGTTCTGGACAGAGGAGTCTGTGTATCCTGTGTGTGTGTGTGTGTGTTTGTGTGTGTGTGTGTGTGTGTGTGTGTGTGTGCGCGCGCGCGTGCGCATGCTGTACTGGGGTAAGTGGGGACATGTTGCTGAAAACACCCTAGGGCCTCTTCTCTGCTCCTTGAGTGGCAAAAACAGTCAAAGCCTAGGCTACAAACTTTCCAGTATAGCCCACGAGTGTTGGATGCATGGATTTTACTTTTCTAGAGATACCTTTCATTAAGGCTCAGTTCCTGAAAACTATGGAATATGGCAGTTTCTTTTTAAAGTATGGTCTGGGAGACAGAACTTGGGCCTTGGAGTCTGAAATCCTGGTTTTCACAACTTAAAGTGTGATATTGGTTGAGCAAACTGCTTAACTTCTCTGAATCTCAGGCTTCTCGCCTTCAGTCTGGGAGAACAACGATACCTTTGTCAGGAGGTTTTTCTGAGGATCAACTGTGTAAGCAAGTACTTGATAAGCTGCAAAGTGTTACCATTTACAACATTTTATGTAAGAAATATCATGCAGAATTAATACCTTGGCAAGCTGGCTCTTGCCCCTGGGCCTCCAGCTCCTCAGGAGGGGGGCAAGCGTTTCTGGACCCCACCCAGGTAGCAGCCCGAGGGCAGGCAGCCTGCCCACCCATCACTCTCGTCTCACCTGTGAGAGGGCAGGTCCTCAACTGTGGTTGCTGTACCTTTCTCTCCTCCACAAGTTGGGTGGGTAACAGGTAACTAGACTAGGACAGAGGAAACAGCGACCTCTGAGAAGCAAGAGACAGCAGGAAACAAAGAGCCATTGTGTGAGAACAGGTTTTCATCTGTACAAGGAAGGCAGGGCAGGAGCGGAAGGGCAGCTCGTGTTCCCATCCCTCATCTGAGTGCTGAGAACGCACACCACGCGCGCTAGACTTCACTGTGACACTCTGAGAAAATGTAACCAAATGGGTTTTGGCTTAGAATTCCTTCTGACAGTTTCCAGTCCATTAAAAATACATGAAATGTCAGTGAAAATTTGCCACGGCATGTTGTTTTGTCAAGAGGAAAATTTGTGAAATAGGGACCTACACTTAAAAATTCTCCATAAAATCATTTCAGTGACTTATTTTTCACTCATTGCTATGTAGATACTATACACTTTGGGAGAAATCACATATATAAACACACACACACACACACAATTTACTGTTCTTTTTCTTGGTTTTTAGTTTTATATCTTTTTTTTTTTTTTGAGTTGGCGTCTTACTCTGTTGTCCAGGCTGGAGTGCAGCGGCACACTCACAGTCATCGCAGCCTCGACCAACTGGGCTAAGGTAATCCTTCCGTCTGAGCCTTCCAAGTAGCTGGAACACAGGTGTGCACTATCACGCCTGGCTAATTTTTCGATTTATTGTAGAGACGAGGTCTCGCCAAGTCGCCCAGGCTGATCTCGAACCCGCAGGTTCAGGTAATTCACTCACCTCAGCCTCCCAAAGTGCTGGGATTACAGGCTGAGCCACCACGCCCGGCCAGTTTTGTATCTTCAAAAAGTTTTTTTCTGCAAAAATCAATGTGGTTCTCTCTATTTTCTTCTTAATGTAAATCACAGAACTATTACCATCATGTTAAAAAGTCATTTTCTTAGAGTGGCTACTTTTTATTTTTGATTTCTTTGGACAAATTTTTTATTTCTTTTATTTTAGGATTATTATCCTAATTTTAATTTAAAGAGAGAAGTGGACAGAAGAGGAGAAAACTGGGATTTACTCACATGCACTACACCATGCTTGGCATTGTATTTTATTTTATTCCATTCCTAGAACAACTCTGTAGGCAGGGTATTTTTATATGCATTTTATAGGCAAGGTTCAGAAAGATCAGATAATTCTGCTACGACCACAAAGCTAACAAGGGACAGATGAGATTCTTTCTCAGAAGACGCCTTCCCCCAAGTCAGTGCTGGGAAGGAAGCAAATAGCAAGAAACCACCTGAATTTTTAAAAATCTGTTTTTTGCTGGGAGTGAGAGAGGGGGAGTGGGTGGCAGAACAGATGACCCAAGATTAGCCACAGGCTGATAACTGGTGAAGCTGCATGGTGGGCTCCAGTACACAAATTTGCCTGCTTTTGTAGGTTTGAGAAGTCCCCAAACCAAAGGCCAAACAAAAGAGCTAATGTCAGCAGACACTGATAACATAGAAACTATTACATAGAAATAATCTTGTGTTGCTTATTGAAAAGATGATGAAGTTTTACAGTTAGGAGACAAAGCTGATCTTCGATTCCTAGAGATGTTCATCAAGATATAGCTGGGTAGTGATTACACATGACAAGCAGCTTAGCCTCTGGTCTCAGAATGGAAAGCATTTCACCACCTTGCGAGTCCCTGGATGGCTGACTGCTCCAGTGCTCCTTGTGTCCTGTCTGTTACTGAGACTGAAGATTTATCTCCAGGGATGTCAGAAATGCTGTTGTTTTTACTCTACTTGTAAAAGTTTTCTAACATGATTAAGAACTACAAGTGAAGCTCTTAGATGAAACAAAGAATACTGTACTACAGCAAGAGTGTTGCTTTGCTTAACTTAAAAGGTTAACTTTAATTATGAAGCGACAAATGCTTTTACAGAAAGAATGACAAATATTACCTCCATTGCTGCGGGCCATTGTCAGGGCTTCCAGAGAAGTAGCTGGAGTTATTTCTAGCTGGCAGATCATGACTTTGGCTCTGCTAATGACACTGGCTGCTTTCCTCAGGTCTTCAGTATTCAAAAATAAATTTGCTCCAGCAACTATAACAATGATATTCTGGCCTATAAAGAAATTCCACATATTTATATTAAAACAAAGGAAAGGGTAACCCCTGCGGGTCTGCTCCCACTGTGGAAGCATTCCTGTCCTCTTAATAAATTCTGCTTTCTAAAAAAACCAAAACCAAAACAAAGCAAAAAACAAAGGAAAGTCAAGCAATGAGATTTTGCAGTGTTACGAATGTGTTGTATTAATTTTAACATTTCTAGACTATTCAGGTTAAATGTTGTTCCAAATACCTTTTTTTCCAAATGTGTCTTTTGTAATATCTCTGTGAGATTCATATTTCTCTGATCACTTTCAGCAATATGTTAAAAAGATTTCCCTTATCAATAGTCTTATATACAAATAATACTAGTTGAGAAATGACATATAACATACTTAAAACAATTTTAAATGGAAAATCGTTGGTATATGTATAAGAAAAGGGTTCTGAATCCTAAGTGACAAATGTCATACAGAGAGTATAAATAGGAATAAATTGCATAATGCTCTGTAGTGTGCAAGCAGTTCATGTGTGTACCCTATGACTTTCTAAAAAGTAATTCTGTCAACCAAAACACATTTTGTAATATCTAATGAATGGAAAACTGTACCAAATAAAGTAGAGAGAAGCCGGGCTCGGTGGCTCAGCCTGTAATCCCGCGCCTTGGGAGGCTGAGGTGAGTGGATTGCCTGAGCCCGCGGGTTCGAGACCCTCCTGGGCAACTTGGCGAGACCTCATCTCTACAATAAATCAAAAAATCAGCCGGGCGTGGTAGTGCATGCCTGTAATTCCAGCTACTTGGAAGGCTGAGGCGGAAGGATCACCGGGCCCAGCAGGTCGAGGCTGCGGTGGCTGGGAGCGGCCACTGCACTCGAGTCTGGGTGACAGAGAGAGACTCCAACTCAAAAAAAAAAATAAAATAAAAATAAAGTAGAGAGAGGGATATTTGGCCTGTAGAGCTCAAACACGAAGAAAGAGAACTGAGGCATGTCACACACTCCCGTCACTTGGACTCACTCTCCATAACCCCACTGAAGTGAAGGTGTGGGCAAACTCTTGAGAGCTGTGCTGTCCAACACGGCAGTCATAAGCACTGGCCACACCACATGGCTACTGAACACCTGAACTGTAGCTACTCCAAGTTGAGATGTGCTTTAAGTGTAAAAATACACAGTGGATTTCAAAGGCAGCACAAAGGGAAGAACGTAAGTTATCGCAGTACTTTTTAACAGTATTTTAAAAATTAAAAAATTAAAATAAAATTTTGATTACACATTGAAATGACATTTTGGATATACTGGGTTAAATAAATATATTGTCAAAATTAGGGCAACTCCCTCGGGTCCCTTCCTACTGTGGGAGCTTTTCTGTCCTCTCAGTAAATCCTGTTTAAAAAAAATTAAATTTACTTGTTCCTTTTTACCTTTTAAAATGGGACTACTGGACAGTTCTGAATGCCACATGTGGCTTGCGTTTTCTTTCTACTGGACAACACTGATCGAGGGGAATGCACTGCAACAGGCATTTTCTGTGCTCCAGGCTGCTCTTGTACAGACATGACCTGAAATTACCTCTCCTCGTAGAACAAATTCTAGCCTATCATCTTACCACCAATGTTTTTGTTGGCCACAAGTTCGACTTAATAAAGTGGGGATGGTTCAGCAAAAACCCAACTTCGGTCCTGGAAACATTCAAAGTACCCACTTGCTGGAAGCTAGCGTCTCTCCTTCCTGTTCTCTGCCACTGACCTCATTTTCTCTTCTGAGGTCAACGCCGCTTACGTGTTGCTGGCTCCACCCACAGTCCCAGCCTGGCCTTAGCTGCTGAGCTCAAGGAACCCAAGAGTCCTGTCTGAGGACCACGCCACACGGCTAGTTCGTTCATGCCTCAACTTTGCTTGTCAAAACTAAACTCATCACTGTATCTTACATGCTCACTCCTTCCTTTAAAGGAGTCCATCTCCTTGTATTTGTCCAAATTCTTCTATGATCTATACTTTTGAGGGCATTACCACACACTATAAACTAGGCAAAGTCTACTACAACAGGCACTCAATACATAATATTAAATGACATTTTTATATGGACAGTATAGATTTTGTTTCATAGGTAAGAAATAAAGAGAACTCGAAGATATCCCCAGAACAACAACAACAAAAGATGTTTAAGACAAGGAATGAGATGCTGTTGGCATCAATAATGACTTAAGATGTGGCTTGAAGTAATGAACACAAACTTTCTATTGTTAGAATGAAAATTTATCAACTGTCTTTAAGTGAAATATATCATTTTATTATTGCAACTTGGGATCACTGAAGTTGAGTTACAAATACCATATCTTCTATGAGAAATTATTTCGTAATATTGTATTATAAACACAAAACATATTGTGACAAATCCTAATGTAAGACAATGTACTTGGTACAAATTGCTTGGTCCGTCTGGGAGTTAATTCTGATTTTAAAAATTTTACGTAGGTGCTTTCATAATTAACAGTTGGTAGAAATTATGAAAGCTTAACTTAAAGGTAGTTACTGTTTTTAATCTATTTTTATTTTTTTGGAGTCAGAGTCTCTGTCGCCTAGGCTGGAGTGCAGTGGCATGCTCGCAGTCACTACAGCCCCGATCTGCTTGGCTTACGTAATCCTTCCACCTCAGCCTTCTAGCAACTGGAACCACAGGCATGCACCACCATACCCAGCTAATTTTTTGATGTATTGTAGAAACGAGGTCTTGCCATGTTGCTCAGGCTGGTCTCGAATCCACCTCTGCTTCCCAAAGTGCTGGGGTGACAGGCGTGAGCTACCGGGCCTAGATATTGTTTTTAAAGGTAAATGTTTCAATTATGGCAAAGCCTTGTGGTAGACTTAGTTGTGTCTTGAGATGTGATTGCTGTTTAAAGAGCAGACAAAATTAAACACTGAGATAAATCAGAAGTAATTAGTTGCTACCATTTGCTCAGTAAACATCCTATAAATATGACTCATCAATCTTTTCTTTTCGCCTATTTACATTTATTTACCTAGCATAACCGAAATGACAGATGAATATACTTGACGCTTTTAGAGAAGAAATGTGAATTCTAAGTTCCCATGAAGGGTAATGAGGACGTGACAGGATATAAATATTATTTTGTGGTCACTTCATATATCTTGGATGGACGATTTTATATTTGAACAATCACCGTGGGTAGTATACATCCAGGCAAACACATTTCTATTTGGATTAGAAAAACTATGCCTTGGGCCTTGGAATGGTGGGTGTGATGAGAGGCCCACAGGACTGGGGTAGAAGTGAATGCTTTTGATCTAGTCCTGGAAATAAACGGTCTACTTTATGAAGTGACACTCCAATATGCAAAACACTTACCTTCATCATCGACAATTATAGAAGCAGTTCCTGTAGCAGCATCTTGAGTCTGATATGTAAATTCTGAAAGAAATAAGAAAATTATAATCACATACATCCAGCCTGGCACAGATAATTTATTTAAACAATTTCAATTCAACACTAATCCTTGGAAAAACTTTTTGACCTTTAACCATCTGGAATGATAAAAAAAATTAAGTAATTAGAGCTAATTTATCCCCGTCACCTCCACGATGAGGAAAACAGACAGCTTCCATTTAGATGTATCCTTTATTGATATTGGTAACAACCCCCAGCCACTCCAACTGCCAGTCTCCCAAATTATCCATAATTGAGTACATATGCTCTTTTCTAGACCAATACATTTATTTTCTTCACGGAAAGAAATGACAGGCTCAAGATAAAAAACAAAAGATTGAACTTCTAAAATAAATGTGTTTGATTTTCTGCATTCTCATAAACATAGCATTTCATCAAGGGTCAGGGTTGGGCATGTAAGCAGAAATGCGGGCCAGGCAGGCCGCCTTTGGTAGCAGCAGAGGTCCGCCTCCTAGCCCCAACTGCAGCTCAACTGACCGTGTGCTCTCAGGAAAATCACAGAGCATCTCTGGCCCTTGAGATAACCTCACTACCATGAAGTGGTGGTGCCAGTCAGGTTCTAGGATCGTTTCCCTGAACCATCTTCTGTGAACGCAAAACCTGTTTTTCCCAGTCACCTGTCACAAGTCCTGCAGCTTCACTCTCATGCCTCCAGAAGATGGAGGTTTACAACCGCCCAACATTTTCTTCCCATCTAGAGGAATGAATGTGGAAGAAGCAACCAGAGGACATTAGAGCAAGAATGGCAAAGCTGTGCACACAAATTCTCTGGCCACCAGGGAAGACCTAATCATTCTGTTCTATTCTTCTTGTAACAATTTTTCTTGTAACAACATCATAGCAGAAAGCTGTAAACACTAATTTTTAAAAATGTGAAATTTTACCTGTAGAAATGCCATTCTGTTTCAAGTTTTCTATATAATCATTGCCAAAAGAATCTTTGCCAACCTGTACCAAAGAAATGATGAACATTAGATCTCTTACATGTAGTAAAATGCTACAATGCAGTTTTTAGAATCCTTAGCATTTTAAAAGGGCAAATCTGCACAGAACTTTATAAACATTAACTAATTAATCTTCTTAATGTAAGATGCTAGACTTGACTGTAGCCCAAAGAATTGCTATACATGGATGTTTCATTTATTTCCCACCTAAAATGCGAAGCCATTTATTGACAGTCACAAGTTCTTCAGCCTCACTCTCCTGTTGATTCGTGCATGTGATGATTCCCACTGAACTGAGCTGTCTGCCTTTATTGGTCCTCAATATTTCTGAAGAATCTGAGCTGTTTGTACTTCACTTGTAAGTGAGGGCAACTTTGTAATGACGATCTGATGTCCTAGAACCTTGTCATCTTCTCCCCTGATGCTGGCACAGGGGGAAAGAGGAGGATGCTTTAAGAACCCTAGGAAATGTGGATAACTTTGTAGAGTGCGTCCTAGCATCCACTGTCAATGGTTTTCCTTTGGACACCCATTCCTGTTCTTTTCATAGACAACAGGAGTAGGTTGGCCAAGGGACTCACGCTTGATTAAAAAGCACGTTCTACCACCCTATCACAGTAGTAGGTTCATGAATGGGCATGTGACCTAAATTAGTCCAATAAGATTCAACCCTGAAAATTTTCTTGAACCTACTAGGGAAGACACATTTTCTTCCCAGTGAGGGTGTCAGATAATGTGAGCCTGGAACCACTGGGCTTCACCCTGTGGAGATAGCTTGAATAAAAACATAAATATAACAGAAAGCAGGAGTGTGACAGACACGCGCTCCTAACAGCCTATGGACACCTAGGCTATCTGAAACCAGTTCTACCAGTGGGCTTTACAGTTACGTGAGCCGACTCATTCCTTTTTTGGTTTGGTTTTCTTTTTGCTTAAGCAATTTTGGATTAGTGTATTACCTGTTATCCCAAAAGTATGGACTAGCTGCAAATACTAGTTATCCTAGAGATACAGATCTCTGTTAAAAAAAAAAGCTAGTGAGTCTACTTTGACTTTGAGCCACAATTCAAGTAGTTGTGCTTTTATGCCTGGATCTTGAGACCATGTTCCTGCTTTGTGGTTCACTTTGGTTACTGGATGTTTCTGTGTTTTTGTCAGAATGAACACGTATCCTATTCTGGTCAGTCCTCTAGCTCTTTCAGAATGGGGACTCCTCAGTCTGGCCAGCCACCTGCAGGGGTCAGGTCTTTCGGTCTGTGGTTCAAGTCCTCCACTACTACCTGCTGGCATGCTCACTTGTGTCTCCTACTACCCACGTCTGGCCTCCCTGGTGCTTTGATCATGGTGCTAGACAGGATACTCCTGGGATCTTTTGATGCTCACCATTGTCTGACTGCCATCTTGGCCTATACTCTAGAGTTGAATTTACAGCAGACTATAAACCAATAGGGTGAGAATCTGACCCCAGATGTGTTTCGTTTGCCCTACATTTTTCTTCTAAAACACAGACTTTATTTTTAAAAGCAGTTTTAGGTTCCCAGCCTGCTCCTCGCTGGCCTCCTCACTCAGCCCTCTGCACCACAGTGGTCCATTTATTACCACTGATGACCCACATGCCACAACATGATCACTCCAACTCCATGTTTACATCAGGGCTCACTCTTGGTGTATGTTCTACGGACTTTGGCAAGCTTATAACGACATGTGTCCATCATTACAGTATCACGCAGAAGAGGGTCGCTAGCCTAAAGTTCCTGTGTCCTGCCTGTTCACTCCCCTTTCCCCCATAACCGTGGGCAACTTAATCTTCTCACTGTCTCCAAAGTGTTGCCTTTTCCAGAAGGTCACATGGTTGGAATCACAGAGTACACAGCCTTTGCAGATCAGCTTCTTTCACTTTGTAATACGCACATAAGCTTCCACCCCGTCTTTTGCTCCTTTTCTGGCAGAAATGCTGACTGGGCAATAACCTCAAACATACCCTAACTTCTTACAAGCAGACTTCCTAACCCTGCACCGAGGAGAGAAGCGAAGAAGTGTTGCTGTGGGGAGAGACCCCTGCTGGGGTCTCATCAACTGAGGTTTTCTCCTGGAGGGCTGTCCATTATCCACATGAAGAGTCATTGAGAAACATGGCCTCTGCTGCTCATCTTTTGTGTGATTAAACTCTCTCCCTCACTCATAAGCGGACCCTGAACATTTACCATAAATGATAAGAAAGGGATTGGTGGTAGCGGGATACTGCTGGGGTGGGGGATAAACAACAACAACAAAATAAGTAAACAAACTCCCACGGGCAATTGAGGTGTTCTACAGCTGGGAGAGTATCCTTGTAAGAATGTCGTAGAGATTAAGAAAAGGCCATCTTGGCCAGGCATCGTGGCTCAAGCCTGTCATCCCAGCACTTTCAGAAGCCGAGGTGAGAGGACTGCCTGAGCCCACGGGTTCGAGACCAGCCCAGGCAACTTGGCGAGAGCTTGTCTCTACAATGTATCAAAAGATTAGCCTGGGATGGTAGCATGCGCTTGTAGCTCCGGCTACTTGGAAGTATGAGGTGGAAGGATCGCCGGAGCCCAGCAAGTTGACGCTGGGGTGGCCATGAGCGTGCCCGTGCACTCCAGCCTGGGTGACAGAGTGAGAGTATGACTCAGAAAAAAAAAAAAGAAAAAGCCATCTCTAGGTGAGCAGGGCCTGATGCGAGTGAGAGGATCAACTTCTCTTCCCTTTCTTGCCAGTTTTATGCAGGCAGAATCCATTAAAGGTGAACATCAAGGGCAGCCTTGACAGATGGAGGTGACAGCAGAAACACTAGGAAGTGCAGGGTTAGGGAGAGCTGCTGCGGGGAGAAGGGAGTCCTAACACGCAGTTCCGCCTTCAAGAAGCTGACTGGACCAGTGGACGACAGGCCACGCAGGGATAGCTGGGCTACTAGGTGGAGCTCAGCAGGCAGTGGAGGGGATTGCATGCTGGGGTGACCACACTGGGGGCGCAGGCTGGCTGCAGTTCTGTGTCAGAGGCTGCGGCGGCCGCCTTTCTTCTTCCTGCTCAGAGAACTGCCTGACTTGCTACATCCACTGGCGACAGCTATAGTTCCAGACTTATTCCAACAGGGAGTTTCTGACAAATCTGTTGGGTAGCCTTTTAAACTCGGTGAAAGGTGGCATGAAACACCTTGCTTTTGCCTTCTTTGATGTTCTCTTATTAAAAATAAAAATCTGAGGCTGAGCACAGTAGCTCATGCCTGCAATCCCAGTACCTTGGGAGGTCAGGGCGGGAGGATCACTTGAGCCCAGGAGCTAGAGACCAGCCTAGGTGACATAGTGACACCCTGTCTCTACAAGAAAATAATTAGCTGGGTGTGGCGGTGTGCACCTGTAGTCTCAGCTACTCAGGAGGCTGCGGTGGGAGGGTCGCTCAAGCCCAGGAGTTAAAGGCTGTGGTGAGTTGTGCCATTGCACTCCAGCCTCAGCAAGAGAGGGAGACCCTGATTCAGAATAAAAATAAAAATCTGGTCACTTAACAAACAGTGAAAAAGTCATGAGACTGCTGGGGATTAAGAAGTGTCAGCCGGGCTTGGTGGCTCAGCCTGTAATCCCGCACCTTTGGGAGGCTGAGGTGAGTGGATTGCCTGAGCCTGTGGGTTTGAGACCCGCCTGGGCAACTTGGTGAGACCTCATCTCTACAATAAATCAAAAATTAGCCGGGCGTGATAGTGTGCGGCTGTAGTTCCAGCTACTTGGAAGGCTGAGGCGGAAGGATCGCCGGAGCCCAGCAGATCAAGGCTGCGGTGGCCGGGAGCGGCCACTGCAACTCCAGTATGGATGACAGAGTGAGACTCCAACTCAAAAAATAAAAATAAAAGAAATGTCAACTCTAGCTCCATTAATTATGTCTCTGGGTCATGAGGCATCACAAAGTAGACAGAAGAGGAAAAAGTTCAAGAACAGGCATGATCATCACAGTGACACGCAGTCATGCAAGCCATGCTCAAGCAATGTCCCCCTTCCTGCTTCCCCACTCTCAAGACCTTGTGCACGTTTCCTTAGATCTCTGGACACACTTTTTAAAAGGTTGAGAGAGTGAACACCTCCCAACCCCCTTTGCTTTCTTCTGACTCTAGTTTGAGCTTTTCTCCCAGTTACTGGAAACGGATAACTAGAACCCAGAGGAGCAGAATCCAAGCAAAGGTTTCACTTATTTCCTGCCACGGAGCAAAGTGCAGGCATCTTGAAAACACGGTGAAGAAGACGATGGGCAGGTCCTAGCGAGAATGAGGACTGCAACAAGGAACCTGTGAGGGACCTTCGAAGGCTTCCCAGCTTTCCCGGTAACCTTCTGGCCACCACATTGGTAAGAAAGCTTCACATGTAAGCATCTTGGCCATGAGGCAAACGGTGCATGTGGGAGTCAGGAAACTTAGAATCTAATTTCAGTTCTGCCATTATCAAGCTAATTACAATTCTTTACATGTTGCCTCCAATCGCTCCATCTGAGCCAGGCTGCAGGGTGGGGCTGGTGTGAGTTCTCTCTGGCAGCAGGAGGCCGGAGGTTCTCAACCTGGGCTGCACATGGGAGCTTATACAAACCCTGAAGTCCTGGCCGTGCCCCAGACCAATTAAGACAGTCTCTCAGTGGCTCAGCCTGTAATCCCGTGCCTTTGGGAGGCTGAGGTGAGTGGATTGCCTGAGCCCGCGGGTTCGAGACCCGCCTGGGCAGCGAGACCTCATCTCTACAATAAATCAAAAAAT